AAAAAAAAAAAAAAAAAAAAAGTACGCCGTTAAATCATTTACATTAATATGTGATACCCCAATAATGAGAAAACTATGAGATGGTATGGTATAACAAAGGAAATGCGCAATATGCTATAAGACCAGGTAGGAGGGACACACATCCCTAAGGGGGTTAGAGGTTTTATAAAGGCAATGTCATGCCTATATTAAGTGTTTTGGGGGTTTTATTACTTTTATTAGTATAAGTTCGCAATATATAACGGTCACATTCCTCATGGGAAGTTGGTTTGCATACCTAACACATCTTAATTCTTTGTACTTCCCCTTTGCTAAGCATTTTGTAAAGTAATTTAAGTATGGAGAAATATACATTACATTGGTGCTAATGCCATTCACATTGCTCAACCACCATTGCCCTCCAGCTTCAGAACCTTTTACACCTTTCCAAACTGAAATACAGTGCTCAGTAAACTCTGCCCTCCCCACAGCCCTCAGCACCCACCTTCCAACGACTGTTCCTACTCTGGGGGCGGAACCCAGGCCTCACCGTTGCTAGGCAAGTGCTCTACAGCCAACCACATCCCAGCCCCACCATTCCACTTCCTGTCTCTGTGCAGCTGACTGCTCTCTGTGCTTGGAAGGAAAGTCAGTCCCTTTGTGACTGATGTGCTTCATTCAGCATAAGACTCTCACTGTTCATCCTTGGAGTAGCATGTGACAGGACTTACTATTAAAGCTGAATGAAATTCCATTATATATAGATTCCATATATAGCTATAGATATAGATATAGATCACATTTTTACTAGCCATTGGTTGAGGGTTGCTGAGGAACCCAGGGCATCCTGCACGCTAGGCAGTGCTCAACCACTAAGCCACCCCCTCAGCTCTTCATTCATTCATTGGTGGCCCCTTGGGCAGCTTCCTCCTCTTGGCTATTGTCAACAATTCTGCTGTGAATCTGAGTGTGTTATCATCTGTTCCTGGACCTGCTTTCAGTTTTTTGGAGTTTACACTCCATGAAAGTTAGAAGAATGAAAAGGAATTAAGGCCAAAAAAAATTTTTAAAGATAAATGTTCCAAGAAGAGTGAGCCTCTTGGCCAGGCATGATGGTGCACACCTGTAATCCCAGCACTCAGGAGGCTGAGGCAGGAGGATTGCTGGGAGTTGAGACCAGCCTGGGCTACACAGTGAGTTCCAGGTGAGTCTCAACTACATAGTGAGACCCTGTCTCAAAAAACAAAAAAAAAACAAACAATAAAAAAAAGAGTGAATCTCTTGTACAAAGGCATGAAGACCTCTAGTTCAGGGCGGCTGGGAAGCAGGGGAGGGAGTTGGTGAGAAGAGCGCTAGAGAGGGGTAGGAACGAGAACATGAGTGACTCGCCCACCATGGGAAATGGACAGGGGTCCTGTAGTTTGGATCTTATACGGCCACCAAAGATATTTGTGTGGGGGAGGCTTGGTCCCAAGGAGAAGCTATCAGGAGATGGTGGGCCCTTTAACAGGAGGAACTTCCAGAGGGCTTTAGGCTATTGGGGTGAGGCTCCAAGGGGACTGTGGGACCCTAACCCTTCCTCCTTCTTACTTCAATACAGGGAAGCAGTTTGGTCGCACCACACACTCCTGCCATGATGTGCTATCTCTGCACAGGCCCAAACCATCATGATCTGAAACCTCCAAAACTGTGAGCCAAAGTAACCTTTTCCCTTTCTAAGTCAGTTATTTCAGGAGTTTGTTACAATGCTGCAAAGCTGACTAATACAGGGGCTTCAGAACAGACTTCAGATCAGATCCTCTTTTAGTGGGTGAGAGACACTGCTCAGTGTCAGAATGTTTGCTTGCATGCACACTGCCCTGGATTGGATGCACGGAACCACAAAAAACAAAAACAGAAACAAAAAACACCACAACAAAAAAACTTTTTTTTTTTAATTTTTTTATTTTTGGAGACAGGGTCTTGTTCTGTAATTCAGGCTGCCCTCGAACTCACTATGTATAGCCCAGTTCAGACTCAATCTAGTGGCAATCCTCCTGCCTCTGCCTCCCAAGTACTTATATTATAGGCATGTGCTGTCATACCTGGCTCATTATTATTTAAGTGATCAATTTATTATAACTTTTTTCTTTCTTTTCTTTTCTTTTCTTTTTTGAGACAGGGACTTGTCATGTAGTTCAGGCCAGCCTCAAAAACTCATATGAAGCCAAGGCTGACCTTCACGCCCTGAGTGCTAGGATTACAGATAACGTATCACCACCACCACCACACCTGGTGAGTATAACTCTAAGCAACTATTCTTTTTTTCCTTTCTTTTTTTTTTTTTTTTTGGCAC